TTTTTTTTTTTTTTTTTTTTTTTTTTGGTTTTTTGAGCCAGGGTCTCACTATGTAGTTGAGGCTGACCTGGAACTCACTATGTAGCTCAGGCTGGTCTCGAACTCACAGCAATCCTCTGGCCTCAGCCTCTTGAGTGCTGGGATTACAGGTGCGTGCCACCAAGCCCAGCTCCCAACTATTCTTTAGTGAACCTCTTATATATAATACTTGATTTGCAATTCTGATTTTTCCCTTGGGACGGAGTCTTAGAGGTGAAATTTTGAGACCCAAGTATATAAATACTGTAAAATTTCATGATATATGATTTTACATGATTTCTGTTAGTTTTTATTTTATTAAGTAAATTAATATATGTGACAATCTTAAAATGGCATATAAATACTTACTAAACAGTCATAATGATGAGTAACTACTTTTATTTAACAAACATGTTGTATACCTATAGGTATGGTTGTAGTAAAGTAGAATCAAATGTCTTTAGCAGTGTGGGTTTCAGGCTCGCTGCAAGCTTACCTGCATTGAATATTACTATTTTCTAACGGTGTGAATGTGACAGGTGTAAAGGCATTAGTCGAAGGAATCAATTCATGTTTATCAACAACAAAAGTTAACATTTTCCCATATAATTATGCCTAAACCAATTAATCCTTTGTCTCCCCCACCCCGCTTTTAAAATTCTCTCATTCCTTACATTTTGTTCCTCCTAATTCATCAACCTGCCCCTTGCCAGCCCTCTCTTGCTTCTCTTCCTGTTCCTGTGGGATGTCTGTTCCTTCACCCACAACATATTTGGTTGAAGAGTAGTTTGTGGGAAGCATGGCACTAGGTCCTGAGCATATGGTAGCAAAGCAGCTTGTAATGGTCCTTGCCTTTGGAACTTATTTAACTTAGCTAAGAACAAAGATATTGAGAAACATGTCTAGTTTTATGAGAGAAAAATAGGGAATACATTGAAGGTCAGCTCACTCTCAACTCTTTGTGGTGCATGGAAAACCTTCTTTGAGAAAGTGTAGCTTAAGCCACGACCTGGTGGATAGACCAGAGTTAACAGCTCTTTGTGGTAAGATGGAGTGAGGTCGAGTTAAAGGTAAGAGAGAGTATAGCATACGAGGAAGCATTGCTGTGGAAAAGACACTCGAGACAATGGAGGAGTGTAGTCTAGGTGAAGTGAGAGGAGGTCAGGGTGACCCGAGATAAGTCTGGGAAGGTCAGCGGGGACAGGCTGCACCACCAGCCATCTAACTCGTCTCCAGCCTGAAACTCATTTTTCTTCTTGAGCCAGGAATCCACCAAGTCATCCCTCTTGTCTTGTGGCTGGCTCTCCAGTACCATGTGTAATGTTTCCAGATGATACTGGATGTCCGAAGGTAAAAGATTTTAATAACTCGGACATCCCCCTTTTTGTTAAATACCAAAACCCTAGGACAAAAGGGAACTGAAGGACTGATGTGTCTACAGAGGTTTCATTGTTTTGTTCTCAGCCAAGCATGGACAGTCTCCAAAGCACTTGAGTGGAGTTGAGAGGTGCTAAAGAGGCGTGTGCACTGGTACTGGTGAGTCATGTAAATGAGTGTGTAGTTTGTGCACCATGAGTCTCAGCAAAGGCTACACACCATGAGTCTCGTTCCTCTGTGCTTTCAGGGGCTCATTCTGAGACTCCTCGTCGGCCTATAACCTTGAGGACAGCCTTCTTCACATCTTTGTTCCGGAGGCTGTAGATGATGGGATTGAGAAAAGCAGAGATAACATTGTAGAATAAGGCCAGCTTCTTGTCCTCTTCAGGGGTAGCCTCAGAGCCAGGCTTCATGTACATGACCATGGCTGGCACACAGAACATGGTGACCACAGTGATGTGAGATGCACAGGTAGAGGAAGCCTTCAGCCGCCCCTGTGCTGAATGGATCTTCAAGATAGCGATGAAGATGTTGACATAAATGACAAAGATAAGGGACAGAGGAATCAGTATGACACTAAAACCAAGAATGAAGTCTACTTGGTCATTGACTGAGGTGTCTGCACAAGCCAGTTTTAAGACTGCAGGGACTTCACAGAAGAAGTGGTTGATCTTGTTGGGGCCACAGTAGGGAAGACGCATGGCAAAGATGGTATAGACAACAGCAGAGATGACACCCCAGAGTCCACAGAAAATGGCCATTATCCCACATACCCATGGGCTCATGATGACTTTGTACCTGAGTGGATGACAGATGGCCACATACCTGTCTACAGACATGATGGCAAAGAGCCAGGACTCAGTGACGCCCAGCACCAAGAAGATGTACATTTGGGCTACACAGCTGGAAAAAGAGATTGTCTTCCTCTGGCTGGCCAGATGTACCAACATCTGAGGCACAGTTGTGGTGGTATATCCCACATCCAACACGGAGAGGATGCCAATAAAGAAGTACATGGGGGTGTGGAGGTGTGAGTCCAGGCAGATAAGGATGGTAATCAAGCCATTACCCAGAATAATCAACAGATAGATCATCAGAAAGGATGAGAATAGCAAAGGTGTGGTTCTGGGGCTCAGGGAGAACCCCAGAAGGATGAATTCAGTCACAAAGGACTGATTGGGCTCGTGCATTTTGTTCTACCTCTCAATGAAAAGGAAAGGAAACACTTCATACAGGTAACAAGCTAATAAGTACACTAGAGCTGAGGTTACTGATGGGGTTAGGTAGTTGTCAGTGTCCAATTCCGATGAAACATCGTGATATCCCCCCTCTTCAAGAAGACAGAATTTATTTTACCTGCTCTTGTCCTTTGTCACCAGGCCAAGACAGTTTTTAATTGAGAAATTCACATCTAGTAACAGCTATATCTCTAAACCACCAGTAGTTCTCTGTCTCATCTCTGGCTTTCTCTACTATAAAATGAAAATACTAGCCAGGTATATCTTTAATTTATTTTAGCATCTTATTCTCCTTAATAAGAACTGAATTTCATGCATTAGCCAGGTAATTAGATGTACAGGTCCTAGGTGAGTTGGGAAATTTCAGATACCTGAAACAGAAAGAGAAAAGCCACGTGGTCCTTTTGAATATTTCGATGTATTTTTTTGCTTAATTTTGCCCTCAGCCTGTCTATAGGAAGAAAGGCTTTCTATTCACCCAGCCCATCTCCAGTCACATTGTATTGGGAGGAACATTAATTTCTCAAAACTGGCTGTGTGATTTATGGAGTATATGACCTTGAATAAGCCATTTTCCCTTTCTCCTGACCCTAAGAGAGCCCTAAGGAGTAGAAAATGAGAATTTCTTTTTGTTTTGGTTTATTACAACAGTTTAGAATGCAAATCATCATACAGAAGGCCTAAAATGTGATAGAAGCTTGATGTTATTTGCATGTTCTGAATGTGTCTCTGTATACAGACTGAGATTCAGATCCAAGCTACATAAGCAAACATACCAAGAACTCACTCCGTTCTCCTCGGTGCCCACAATTGTTACTCCCCTCCAGATGTTTACCCTCTTTTTTCTCCTACAAAGTCAGCACCCCAGTCTTTACCTTCTTACTGACTCTTAATTATTTGAGCTGAACTTCCTGAGTTTCAGTTTCTTTGGGGGAATAGGAAAAGGACAGCCTCTCAAAAAAAAAAAAAATGTCATTTCCATGGTTGGTAATTGAGGAGTGGAGCAGATGCGATGCTGTCCGTCTTGTTTCTTCTCCTGGCACCAATCTATCTGACCTATCCTTCTGGCTTCCTAATCTACTTGTTTTCCCTTGACACCTTGACTGAGTCTTCATAAGAACATTATCTCTGCATTGGATACAATAGATGGGTTTCTTGGCTTTGGCCAGCAGGACTGCACACAATTTGAGCTCCCTGTGTGCTAAGCACTGTTACAGGACCTTCACAGATTTTAGCCTACAGCTGCCAAGTATCTGGAAGACAATTATTTTTATTAAATCACAAAGAACTTTTCTAAGCCAAGCTGTCTCCCTAGGTTGGTCTCAGCCTCTCCATCTGCCCAAAGGATGATGGTGCTTGGGCCAGCTGGGCTTCAAGGAAGAAAAGCTACATGGCAGGGTGAAGAGTGCATGTGAGAGACAGCTGGTTCTGCCTCAGTCTTATCTCTGGCTTTATGCTGTGTGACTTTGGCTGTTAGCTCACTGCTCTAGGCCTTGGTTTCCTCAGCTGTAAGGAATAAGAATAAAAATATGTTTATTGCAACCCACATTCTTCCTATGAAGTTGCAGCCCAAAGATGTCAAAACAATGTACCTTGGGCCCTGGGTGGGGAATATGTTCTTCAATTTTTCACTTTTTGGTTTTCAAACAGAGCCTGAGAAAGGGATTTTTCCTTAGGAGTATTGAACTTGGCTGAACTGTGAGGACAGGCTGTGGTTGTTTGTGAAACCTGTTTATAAACCAGCAAATGAGCCCCTGATGCTGTTCTACAGCAGGACAATGGGTCAGAAATTCAGGCTTCTTGAACCCTGGGTTACCTCTCCCTGACTCTCCTGAGGGTATGCAAAGTAACTGAGGAAAAAGCTGCCCGATGCTAAGGCATAGGATGCAGAAACCTAATGTGAGGGAGAGCAAAGAGCAAGATCACTATCTGATACAATAAGCCTGGCCTCTGTGTCTTTGTTTCAGCCACAAATAGAGAATTCAGTTTTTGAGATGTCTTACAAGATAGCTTAACATTCATTCTCGCTTTGAGCCTCATGATGATTCTGAGAAGTATAGATTATGTATCATTATCTCCATCTGGCAGATGGAGAATTTGAGCCTCAGAGAAGGAATGCATGGAAAAAATGGAATCATAGTAATTTTCAGCAGAAATAGGGCTTCCTGTGTGCCGCAAAACCACAGCTAATCAGAACTCGACTAATCTGACTCCTCAATTTACTGAAATGTTTTCTGTTCTTGATTTTTATGGAGGAAAAGCAGATAACGAGGGCAAACAATCTTGTGTTGGGTATAGCTAATTATATATGTGAATACATGTAGATAAGCACATAAGCACATGGAAACATACAATCTACACACAGAGAGAGCAATTGACAGTATTTGTAAGATCAATCCAATCAAAACAGCCAGAAATTTAGAAGGACACCCTCAGCTCCTGTCACATCCCTTACATCCTATTTGTCACCAGGTTCCATTGCTGCCACTTCCAGAATGCCTCTCCTTCCCATCTGTCCCTAACCATTCCATTGCCAGTATCTGTTTCAGACTCAGCATCTCTCTCCTCTGCTCTCATCTGAGTCTTCCCATTGGGTCCCTTGCCCAGCCCATTCTCTGCACCAGCCTTCAGAGTACTCTTTCTAAAATATATATCTGATGGGGATACTACTTCATGGCCCCCTTATCTATAGGGAATCATCTAAGAGAGTTAGACCAATATCCCAAGTTCTCCTTATAGCCAGACTATATGTTGGTCCTCAACTCTCAGGCAGGTTGGTGAGCTCCATCTTTTAGAGAGATGTTTGGTAGCTGCCAGGGCTGACACAGAAAACTTCCCATCAGCCCTGTAAGCAATCTCCAGAGAGGAGACAAGGAACCTGAATTGCAGTTTGGAGACTCATCCCTGAGTACAATGGGGATTCAGGGCAGAATTGAGATGAATTCTTACATTTCATGGCTGCCAGCCTGTTCAATTTCTCAGGCTCTGTTTTAGCTCAAGGCAAGGGCAAGCTGACTTAAGAATTCTGAAGTTTAAGCACATTCCCACTGAGTAGCTCCACTGTGCATGACTTTATTGTTTTTCCTGTATACTCTCCTTATTTAATACCAAGCATGGGAAATCCTGAGATCAGTACATACCAGGAGACACTGGGAAACCAGAACTAAAGAGAAAGAAATGCTTATATTCTTTTTGTCTTTATAATTTTCCTTCCTGTTTCCAAGAGATCAAGGGGGAAATCACCTGTGCTAGAAGGCATGATCTCTCCAGAAACCAGGCCACCAAATTCATGGAGAAGAAGTGTTGGGTGTAGTTTGTACTAAATGTTATGAAGTTTTTTCAATTTCTCTCAGTTTGTCCCAGCTAATACATTCAAATAATAATAATTATAATAATTGCAGCTTCCTATGTATTAAGTACATGTTCTTTTCATTTATTATTTTATTTCAATTTCATAACTGGGATAACAGTTGCAAGATTTAGTAATGAACATAGATATGAACCCTCCAATCAAAGGTAGCACCTGCTACAAACAGATAAAGTTGTACCTACATTATTAATGCACATTATTGCTATACCCATTTTACAGATGAGAAAAGAGGTAACAACACCTCGTCTGGGTCACACTGTTGTTGTAACAGAGCCAGTACTCATAAGCACCAGGCAGTATCAATAAGAATGTAGTTGGCTGGCCTGATGGAAAGCAGGTCCCCTCCCACTGTGCACTATTTACTTGCTGGCTCATCTCTTTCTCCTCCAGGGAAGAAACTGAATGAATGAGGTCAACAGGAGCAAAAAATAGGCCAAAAAGCAAGAAAAACAGCTCTGGAGTAGGCAGCACCTCTGGCTGATATAGGGAGAAGATGATGCCAGGCTTATTCCTGAATCTCCTGGGGCTGCATACAGGGGAATGGTCATATGGTGGTGCTTTCCCTAAGTCTGTGTTGTCCCTCCTGCCCCCGACCCTGTCCTCCATGCCATGCTTTTTTTCTTTCCAAAAAGCTTCATAAAAGACACCTTATGGGAAGCCAGAGGCGATACAGCTTGGGCAGAGCTGGCCATCCCCTACATATTCTCTCCTGACACTTTCAGGCAGCCCCTGGAGTCCACAGATCTATCTGGAAAGAGGAGAGAGGGCTGGCTCAGGCCATAAGGTAGTTAGGAGTATCCTACAAAGGCCTTGGGACTGGCTGGGGACTGACAGGGTGGGAACCTAGTACCATCTGGAGAATCCTGGGAGACAAAAGACAGAGTATGGGGTGTGGGAGTGAGGAAAAAGACCCTCATCCGAGGCCAGCAAGGATGGACCAGGGTACAGGTTAGAGGGTCACTCTGGGCAGAATATACACAGACGCCAAGTCAGTGAGCATCAGATTCAAAGAAGGACAGACTAGAAGTCATGGAGGATCAGAGGCAGGACAGAGAGTTCATTGACTGAAGGTAGATAGAAACTAGAAGACAGAATCCATGGATCAGAAGGGAGCCTGAAGCCTAACTCTGGTGAGCAAGTGAAGACCCCCAGGGGACCCCAGAAGATGAGTTGCCATGGCTTCCAGCTACACCTGCTCTCCTGTAGAACAATCTCTTGCTTGGATGCTTGAAACCTGAAGCTTCTCTGAGCATCACAAGCACAAATTGCCTTTGGAGAAAAGAGCAGCCTTGGCCCCAAACCCTGGTTAGGTCCCAGCTTTCCAAGTTAAGGAGGGAGTACCAGTCCTTCACAGAGCCCCTGGACATGGCAGGGTGTGTTCTGGGATGCACGTAAGTGGGCAGGAGTTTAGAGCCAGCAGACCCTGGGTCTTGCTCTCATATGCTCTAGGTTGTAGTCATTTCACTAAGATTTCAGTGATCCCACAGGTTACTTTGAACAACTTCAGAGACTCAGTAAATTTTAGGGTTAGGGGCTATCTTGGAAATCCAGGGAATCTGGGAAACTCATTAGAAAAACTATTTTCTCTGCAACTTGCTGCTGACAGATGTTCCAGTGCTATTCACATGCCCCCAGCAATAGGAGGCTCATCCTTCTTCAAAGCAGTTTAGGTGGCTGTGACTCTGTCCTTCATAAATTCCTTTCTTTTACTGAGCTAAGACAATACTGGCTCCTTCTGACATCAAAGTTCTCTAAACTGCACCCTTACCTGATACTCTGCCTCTTCACCAACCCATCTTCAGCCCCATTATATTCTCCAAATCCCCAGTCATCATTATGATGCACTAGCCCTTTCTTGTCCTTACCTTTCTTCAGAAGTGTGTGCAGGGATTTGTGAGTCTTCGCCTTTCCTCTTGTCCTCTTCCTACCCATAAATCCCATGCTTCCACCCAACATCTCTTCTGCCAGACAGCAGCCCCAGAAGACTCTTCCACTGACAACCACAGAGATCATCCTGACCTTCTGCTTCACAGCTGAGGGCTCCCAAGAACACTCTGGGGAAACAATTGCTTGCTGAAGAAGAGCCAGGGATTTGTAGTCACACAGATGTGATCATTATGACTAGGGCAAGTCTTGTAACTTCCCAGAGCCTCTGGGCTTTCTCTACATTGGAGCTGAGTCCTCTGTACCATAGCCATACTCACAATTTTTGAGTAGTTATTATGGATCAGACATTGCATTATCCCAAATCTTCGCAGTAATATCCTCATTTTATACAACAGAAGTAGCAACTTGGAACATAAAGTGGCCTGTGTAGAGCTGAAATTATGAACAAGTTTTGTTTTTTTTTTGGGTTTTTTTTTTTTTTACCAAACAGGCTCTCATGCTAAACAATATTCAGTCCAGTGTCATGACCCAGTATAAATCACACTGAGACGGGGATCCATAACTGTCAAATCACATAAAAGGACAGAGTCAGAATCATCCAGAAGTAAGAGGTGATCAACTGATAGAATTCAGACTCAGCAGCAGCAGATTCTAACACAGTGAGTTTTCTGGGGATTTTGCTAAATACATTCTTTACTGAGAATGTGGAAGAAAAAGAGAAATATACCTGTTGCTGATGTAGTTCTCAATCTTATTTTTGGTTTTTTGTTTTATTTTGTTTTGTTTTTTGAGACAGTGTCTCACTATGTAGTTGAGACTGACCTGGAACTTACTTTGTAGCCCAGGTTAGTCTCGAACTCACAGTGATCCTCCTGCCTCAGCCTTCCAAGTGCTGGGATTACAGGTGTGCACCACCAGGCCCAGCAGTAGTTCTCAATCTTAAAGATGTAGAGTGGGGTAACCAGGTCATGGCATCCTAATTTAATAACAAGCATCACTGCAGAGTGATTATGTATAGGTATCTGTTAGCTCTTGGGTGATTTTTTTGGGGGGTACTGGGGATCAAACTTGGGACCTTGTGCTTGTGAGGCAGGAGGTGGAACCACTTGAGCTAAATCCCTGGCCTCTTAGGGTGTGTTTTTTAACCTGATGTGTGTGTGTGTTGGGAGGTGGGTAGGATTAGGAAGGTGAACCATTCAGGAATTTCCAGCATTAGTATGCATAAGAGCAGAAAATTGGTTTTACTCTGGTATCAATCGCAGAAACCACTAGCAATAGTGCAGTGCCACCAGTCTGTCATAAGCACAGGTGTTTTGTGACTAACATTACTAGAGTAATGCTTTGGAACTTTATTTTGGATGACATTAATTTATAAAATAAATTATATATACTCAATGAAAGAGAAAAATAGACAATATTTATTAAACACGTCCTACACTTCTTATCATTCTATTTAATCATTGGACAACTGTCAAACACATCATTTCAATCATATGGGCATCAATACTGAAGTTTAGAGTTTAAAAAGGCTGTTCAAGACAGCTGAGATTTCATTAAGTTGGACTAATTGTAAAGTGCTTCCGCAGTGCTTTGCTTACAGGGTGGGATGATAAGCCAGGACCACCCAAGTCTCTAGCCTAAAGAATGAGTCAGCCCTCCCTTTTTTCTGGTGCTTGAGTCACTAGTAGAATGAATTTCCAAAAGCCAACTCTAGACATTAGAGGAATCTGGAGTTGTTCTTCAGGTTTCCACCTGAGCTACAAATGGTACAGTCCTATTAGGAAATAGAGAATCCTGATGCTAAGTTCAGAGGTTGTTCTGTTGTAGACTCCATTATGCTTAGGATAATCTCTGCTAGAGTCCTCCTGTTTGAGTTTGAAAACTAATCCATGTTCATCAAAAGAGTTAATAAACATGGAAAGGCAGAAAGAAGAAAACCTTACACTTTCTTTAATTCTATGCAACAAAGAAAACATTATTTCTTGATTCCTGTCCAACTTTTTCTAAGATTTAATGATAGTGTCTTTTTTTCTTGTTTCTATTTTGCAGTCAGCTTTGTTGTGACAGATACTAATTAGCTGACTATCTGCTTACCCTTTGGTGTCAGTAGAACAACAGTGAACCCTTGAGTTATGACCAGCCTCACATACAAACAACTTGGGTTACAAGCAGAATTTTAGTTTTAACTTATGACCAAAGATTTCAGTTATGTCCTGAATGCCAACTGCTTATGTGATTACAAACAAAGACCCATGATGCCAGAAAAGCTTATGTAAGCATACCTAAGTGTCAGTCTGAGCCCAGATGTACATTTGTGGATGTGATTTCAGTCAGTGCTTTATATAATCACTATAATTACTGCTATCAAAATGGCCCCCAAAAAGCTAGAAAAGAAGCTAAGAAAGGAAGGGAAGGGAAAGAAAGCAATTACAATAGAAAAGAAGAAGGATATTGTGGAGAAAAATGAGAGTGGCATTTATGTGACTGATCTCACTAATATATACAGCATGTCAAATCTATTATCTTGACAATCTCATAGAGAAAAGATTTGATAAGGAAGCCAGTGTTGCTAAAGGTGTCACTCAAATTAGTAAGTCATGATCAGTAGTGTTAGATGAGGTAGTAAGGCTATTATTAGTATGGATAAATGAAAGGCAGTTGGCAGGTTATAGCCTATCTGAGTTTATAGTTTCTGAAAAAGCTAAGGCTATAAATGCAGATCTAGTAAAGGATAATCCATCAACCAGTGATAATAGTGAAACATTTTATACCAGTAGGGATGGTTTCACAATTTTAAAGCAAGAACTGGAGTTCATAGCATAACTAGACATGGTGAAGCAGCCAGTGCTGATAAAAGGGCTGCTGAAAATTACATATACCACTTTGAGACAATGACACAGAGAAATGGCTTTTGGTTTTATCAAGTTTTCAGCTGCGATGGAACTGGCCCTTTCTGAAAGAAAATGCCCAGGAGGAAAATACATTACTAGGAAGAGAAGAAAATGCCAGGCCACAACCCTATGAAGAATAGGCTAACCTTATGCGCCAATGAGAGTGGTGATCTCAAGATAAAAACCTCTCTTGGTTTATCACTTTGAGACCCCTAGAGTATTCAAAAACATAAAGTCATGACTAGGCTAGGGGTCATGTGAAGATCTAACACAAAAGCCTGGGTAACACTTTTTCTTGAGTGGGTCAGGGAAGTTTTCTGTCCTGCTGTTAAGAAATATCTAAAGGGCAAAGGTTTACCATTTAAAGCTCTCCTCATCATGGACAATGCTCACTCATGAGATTTGGAAGAAGAATTGGCTGAAGAATTCCCATGGATATCAGTTGAGTTCCTCCCACCTAATGCAACTCCTCTACTGCAGCCCATAGACCAGCAGGTTATAGCTAACTTTAAGAAGCTATATGCCAAGGAACTGTTCATAAAGTGCTTCCAGATGGTCTCAGATACATATTTAAGCCTTAAAGAGTACTGAAAGGAACATTGCACCATCCTTTTCTATGTGGGGTTAATTGAGAAATCTTGGGTCAGTGTTTTTAAAGACACAGAGATTTCTTGTAATTTTGTTTTTTAACAAAAGATTATTCTCTGGATAGAGTGCAACTTTGGCAGCCAATACAAAGACTGACTCCACTGCTGGAATACTACTTGTGGCTTGCATCCTATCCTAAACATCACATTTTAACCTTGTATAATCAATATAGACCCTGAAGTGGTTCAACTTCTACTCATGGGACTCTAGTTGACAATGATGAAGAATGGAAAGAACTCAGTGGGAGGCAAAGAAACTTGGGTTTGAGTCATTTGGACTTAGGATTAAATCAGGGTCCCTCTCTTGGTGTATGGCAGCAGTTGCTTTTCCTTGCTCTACTCTGTGCAAGTGTCAAGAAGTTGAAGTGTAATCAGCTATGCAAAGCCGAGACATGCCCCTTCCTGTTGTCTATAGTGAAGCAACCACCTAGACCTTCCTCAAAAGCAAGCTCAGGGAGGGGAGTACTTTGTCTTTTTTATTGTAGCACAGTGGAAGAAATGATTTTGTGGAAGGAGACACTGAGAGAAGTGAATTCAAGGGAACAAAATCTTAAAGAAGTTTTAATTACACTGTAATTTAAAGGGGCATATACAGGAAATTTTACCAGACATAAAACTAAGAGGTACTCATTGAGTGTGGCCTACCAAGTGTCTTCATATTGAGGTTGGCCTTAATAGGGAAGTCCTCCTGGGGGAAGAGAGCTCCCTGTTGGCCCCATCCAGTGTCTTCTGTCTAGACCATATTGTTCTGGAACTCCAACTGCATTACCTCTAAAGGCTCTACAATACCAGGACCTAATGTTTTTTGAGTGATATAACTTCTATAGGTGCTACTAGCACCAGGCAATGGCATGGTTAAGTTTCCAATAAAGAATAGGAATGCAGTATTCTCAAACCCCCTGCAACTCAGATGAATGCAGTATCTGCAAGATCCAGGAAGGTCTGAGCAGCACAGTTCTGGCTGAGCCAGCCACACGTGTCCATTTTGTCATGTGTTCTGAGCTTGCTACTTGAAGTCCTGAAAGGACAAGGATGCGACATTTCCAAACATTGCACCCACAGAAACCAGGGATGTATTCTTTAAGAAAAAAAAATGCCAAGGTAACACATGCACGTAATATTTTGCTTAGTTATCCAATCATCTATTATGGATAATTTGTCTTCACCTCAACCTTCCTATCCTCTGCACCCTCATTCTCTCTTGACAAAGATTTTCTTATTGCTCACACGCTACTCGTGCTGTCCTGAGCTCTTTTTCAGCTAGGACTGATATTGGGTTTCTGTGTCCATTAGTCATTGTATAATCTTAGCAAATATTCTACTAAATGAGTAACCAAATCCCTACCCTCAATATATGATCACCCTCATATTTCCTCATGCCCCACCATCCCCTAGATGTTCTCTGATGACCGTGGCCTGCCCCTAATAAAAAATCCTATTGGGTCAGTGTAGCCTGAATTCCCTTTACCTCTAATGTTTCTTCTTCTTAATTTTCCTTCTATTGACTCTCAACTTTAGATCATCAGCTACAATCTCCACTTTTCCAGGCTGTATTTGGAGTTGAGCCCATTCTCTTTCTCCACTATAAAGGACACATCTGCTGCTTATATAGATATAAGCTTCTTGAGTAAAGCCTTCCTCATGGGCTTTAGTAATCAGTGAATAACTGATTCATTACTCATGTTCAATAAATATCATGGAAGTACTTCTCTTCAATACCCTCCCTCACTCACTAAAATTAAGACCTCCTTCCCTTTCCTCTCTTCCCTTTCAGGGGTCATTGCTCTTTACCTCTCTAGCCAGGTTTCTCCTCCCTTTTGGACTCAGCCCTTCTTCGTGTAGTCTGGTTGATTAGGCTT